CCGCATGGGATGACGAGGAAGACGAGCTGCGCCCGCGGCGCGATACGAGCCCTGCTCGTGTCTTGCGGACCCATGTCCGTTCCCTGACTTCTCGTCAATTAAGGCACGTGGAGTGATCACCAGTGACCTCGAAGGTAAGAAAAGGCGGCAGCTTGAAGCTGCCGATAAGCCAGCTCTAAAGCGTGCCCATTCACGGCCGGTCAATGACCCCTGTGTGAATTTTGGTTTCTGTCCAGCGGTCCCCGCTGTGGAAGCAAAGAACTCGATCGTTACGCGTCCATATAATCGGGCCCCCGGCCAGAACGGATGATGAACGTGCCACACGAAACTCTCTTCGAGCTCGATTCTTGGTCCCACAAGAAACTCCGTTAGACATTTATCGCACTCGTCTACGTGCTCAACGAGGTGGCTCTCGAGTACCCGCAATGCGGCAATACGTGTAGTTCTCGCCCCTGGCGGAAGCACTACATTTGATGAAGCGTTTTTTAGCGATGGGTGCAACGGCACTGGAAACTTTCCTCACTGCATAACCTGCAGTTGAGCCACAGGGAAGTGAACGTGCGTGTGGAGCGACACCTCCGCTTTGAGTTTGCCAAACTCGAGGCACGCCGTCGACTTCCTTCGAATTGTCGCCCTGCGATGTATGGGTTAACAACCCCTAATGCTCCCGCGAGCTCTGTGTAGTCGACCGTAAGAGCTCAAGGTTACTGCTTGATCTCAGCTCATGCCCCTTTTATTTCTTTGGCTATTGCCGGGAAGTGCGGGGCGTCTGATCACGCGGGACGTCCTGATCGTTCCGATCAAAAGTGTCCACGGCAACTGGGCAATCTTGCGGAAGTGGCGCCTAAAACTCCCACGAGTTTTCAGAGTCGAGATATTCCCGCCACTTCACGAGATATTGGGTCTAACCCTGGTGACGACGTCGTCTTACAAGACGTTTCACGTGATAGTGGACGTCACCGTTCTCATCGAGAATGGTCCGGGGCGGGCAGTGACGAACGGGTCGACAGCTGACTCGTGATGCTCTTCGAGCCCTTGAAGACAAGGTCCGTCGTGATCAGAGCTCCGCTGAGCATCTTGCTGAAGTAGCATATCGCTGTGCGGACGCTCTTGACGATTTAAAGCACGTCGTGCGCCGGCTGCCTCGCGCTGAGGAGAACCGCGCTTTGTCGGAGGGACTCCCAGCCGTGGAGCAGACAAATGCATCGCTGCATGCGACGGTGGAGCGCTTGGCGCCGTTAAAAATGGATGTTGTTGCACTCCGTGCCCAAAACCAGTTGCTTTTCAGTTTCTGGGTGGCCGCGGGCCCGTGGAATTTGCTCCGGCCCAAACACTTTCGCGTTCACTTGCGCCGGATCCCGTCACGTCTTAAGCAAGCCCACGTAAAACACCGGGTGGGTGCGCATCCGTTTCGGAAGGTCCAGCGCGTACGCCATGCCCCGTTTGGCCACAACCATAAACGGTCCGATAAATCGAGAACGAAGCTACGTCCTTAAGACAGCAGAGGCTGCATTTGTAAGCAGTTTTTTTAAATTTAATAAAGCCAGGTCCTCGACCTTAAAGCTTTTCACATTGCCTCTTCTTTTTTCATCTGCATATTATTTCTGCAGGTCTCGGCTTTTAGCCATCGCATCGCGAACGTATCGTAGGTTACTCAGTCTGGTAGACAAGATTCCTTACGGACGGTGAGGGGGCTGATATCAGCTAGCCCGTCGGCTATTCCACCCTCCCAAGCCTGAGTCATGGGATGGCGGCGTCAGCGAGACGCAAGGGTGGATCAACTCTACGAGTGGCGACATGGCGCTCCAGCACCTCGGCGTCTCCGCGCAGACGCTGCGAAGAACGTCTTCGATGACGCGATTCACCCTTTCAGTTTGACTATTGGTCTGCGGATGATTCGCTATCGACATATCTAACTTGGTGCCAGGCACCTCAAAAAAAGTCGACCAGAAGTTTCCCGTGACCTGGGGGTCGCTATGAGAGTCAATCGACTTTGGGAGTCCATGTTGTCGAAAAACACGATCTTCAAACAGCGTTACTGTACCGACTCCGCCGATGGCGTCTGGCACCGCCGCCAAATGAGCCATCTTGCTCAACCGGTCGACGAATGCGACGACACCCGTGTTGCCCGCCGAATCTTTCGGCAGGCCAAACACAAAGTCCAACTCATGGACTGTCAGCACCCAGTGAGTACCGGTAAGCTGAACAGCGGCGCAGCCGCATTTGGAAAGAGTTCTACCCGTTGACCCGTCTCACACGTGCGCACATAGGTGCTCGTACATTTGTACAACTTGGGCCACCAATAGTGATGACTCACAGAATTAAACGCTTCTCACGATCGAGATGACTACTGAGTGGCGTGTCGTGAGCCTCATAGAGGATGCGGTATTTCAAATTCTCATTATGAGGAACCACAGTTCGTGGTGTATCCGTTGAATCGGTGCTATAGTATAGCAACCGTTATTCAACGAATATCGGTGCAATCGTGCACGCAATCTTTGTGACAATTTCTTGTCC